CAGAAGCCGGATCCCGGGGTTGAGCAGACCCTGGGAGGTGAGGGTCAGGCCGGCTACGTGCTCAGCCTCTGAACCTCAGCTCTCAGCTCTCATCCGGTGAGGGGGTATGGTGCGCTCGGCCCAGAGCTGCCCAGGGCGAGGAGGGCTGGGGGTGTCGGGGGCAGGCCGGGCGGTGCTCATCTCTCTGTCTCCCCTCACTGCTGCTGCTGCAGGATCTGTGTGAGGTAGGGTCCTGAGTCCTCCCCCTGCCCTACCCGCCCTGCACCCCACGCCTGTTGCAGCCTCTTCTCCCCACCCCACGCCCCCCGGCTCCCCCAGGGAGGCGACCTGGCATGGCAGTCAAGGGTATGGGCATCAGACAGGCCTGGATTTGAACCCTGACTTTCCTGCTATGGACTGTGCAGCCCTGGCATGTCTCACCCTCTCTGAGCCTCATTCTCCTCCTCTGCAATGGAGGATAGAGGTGTCCCTACAAGGTGTAGCTATATGCGGGGGTTCAGAGCATCTAGACCCCAGGAATCCTGACCTCTGACCCCTGTCCCCAGCCTTATCATCCTCATCGCCCTCAACGTCCTGCTTTTCTACCGCCTCTGGTCCCTGGAAAGGACAGCCCACACCTTTGAGTCCTGGCACAGCCTGGCCCTGGCCAAGGGGTGAGTGGGTAGCCTGGGGAAATGGGGGGGCTTGGGCACACTGTGGGAGGCCAAGGCCCTGCTCAGGCCCGGCATCCCCACAGCAAGTTCCCCCAGACGGCCACAGAGTGGGCCGAGATCCTGGCGCTACAGAAGCAGTTCCACAGCGTGGAGGTGCACAAGTGGAGGCAGATCCTGCGGGCCTCCGTGGAGCTCCTGGATGAGGTAGGAGGCGCCACTCGGGCAGGGCCCGGGGCTACAGAGCTGTAGGGTCCTGTGTTGAAACCCCACCATGCGGCAGGCACCTCCCTTCTCCGGGTCTCAGTGTCCTCCTCTGTAAAATGAGGAAGCCACTCAGAGTCCCCACCCCACAGCATTGCAGGGGAAAGCATGGAAGCGTGGATGGAAGAAAGAATTGATTGGCTCACGTCCTGGAGAAAAGTCCAGAGGCATCTCACGTTAGGCACGGCTGGGTTTGGTCACTCAATGGCAGTAAGAGTCAGTCTCGTGCTCGTTCTGCCCTGTGCCCATCTCCAGGGTTGGCTTCATTGGAGGCCACACTTTTCCCCCCACCGGGGATCACGGTGCTTACTCTCATTGCCTGCTGGGGTCTCAGGCCCACCCCTGACCCATCACAGCAGCCAGGGCAGGCCAGGTGTGGTCCCTCTACCCCCTACCCCCCTCTGGGGTAGCTAAGGGGTCACAGGGTCTGAAGGGGAGAGACTCTTCAAAGGACCTGAGGTCTCATCTCCAAAACGGAGTGGATCCAGACACCCAGTGTAGTTCAGGGACAATGTCTACTCAGACAACCAGGTTCCAGTTCCGGTATGTGACCTCTTGCAAGCAATTTTGCCATGGTGACCGTGGCCGCCTCTGTGCACAGGATAATGGCTGATGCTACTTCAAAGACTGTTGTGAGGATGAGACAAGTTGACACTGGGAGTGGTGCCAGGCCCACAGGAAACACTGGATGTGGGCTGGGTGTCCTGAGTGTGAGCCTAGTGCCAGGGACAAAGCAGATGCCCAATAAATGTGATGTCATCACACAGCAATGCCCTCAGGCCCCAGTAGACTCAGGCCAGCAGTTGCGGTGGGTCAGAGCAAGTGTTGGGCACTGGGGAAGGTGTCGAAGTGGGAAGGCGGTTGGGAAACAGAGAGTCTGGCATTGCCTGCATTTCCAAGGCCATCAGAGCTGAAGCTGTGGGTGACGGTGAAAACCTTGTTTCATCAGACCCTTCCATATCAGAAGGCTCATCTTTAGGAGTCTCATTCCCCTCCTGAAATCAAGCTTGGGAGAGGCTCACACTGGGAAGGGTAGGGCAGGACGGGGTTGGGAGAGGATGAAGGCTGAGGCCCCATCACTCAGAGAGGGTGGGCAGGGCCCCCCATCCTGCGTTATTTTATTTTGAGACAGGGTCTCATTCTGTTGCCCAGGCTGGGGTGCAGTGGCACGATCATGGCTTATCGCTGCCTCAAACTCCTGGCTCAAGTGATCCTCCTGCCTCAGCCTCCTGAGTAGCTGGGACTATAGGCACGCACCACCATGCCTGGCCAATTTAAAAATTTTTTGTAGAGACCAGAGTCTCACCATGTTGCCCAGGCTGGTCTCAAACTCCTGGCCTCGGGCAGTCCTCCTGCCTCGGCCTCCCAAAGTCCTGGGACTGCAGGTGTGATCCACCACACCTGGCCCTGAGTTAAATTTTTATCATTTTCCTCCCTCTCAAACTGCCAAGGGTGCAGAGTTGATGTCACAGATTGGTACTCACAGTAGATGCAGACTGAGCACTTACCTGTGACTGGGCTATTCCAATTTTTTTTTTTTTTTAGACTGGGTCTCTCTCTGTTGCCCAGGCTGGAGTGCAGTGGCATGATCTCGGCTCACTGCAAGCTCCGCCTCCCAGGTTCATGCCATTCTCCTGCCTCAGCCTCCCAAGTAGTTGGGACTACAGGCGCCCGCCACCACACCCAGCTAATTTTTTGTATTTTTTAGTAGAGACGGGGTTTCACCGTGTTAGCCAGGATGGTCTCGATCTCCTGACCTCATGATCTGCCTGCCTCGGCCTCCCAAAGTGCTGGGATTACAGATGTGAGCCACAATGCCCGGCCTGTTCTAAGTTTTAAGCATGACTGCCTTATCCCCACAGCCAGCCTTTAAGGAAGATGCTTTTGTTATCCCAGTTTTTTTGAGACAGAGTCTCAATCTGTCACCCGGGCTGGCGTGCAGTGGCGTGATCTTGCCTCACTGTAACCTCTGCCTCCCAGGTTAAAGCGATTCTCGTGCCTCAGCCTCCCAAGTAGCTGGGATTACAGGCACCTGCCACCACACCTGGCTAATTTTTGTATTTTTAGTAGAGATAGGGTTTCACCATGTTGGCCAGGCTGGTCTTGAACTCCTGACCTTAAGTGATCCACTGGTCTCGGCCTCCCAAAATGCTGGGATTATAGGCATGAGCCACTGCGCCCGGCCATTATCCCGGTTTTATACATAGGTAGGCGGTATGAGGCATCCACAGGTTCGAGGAGCTCAGGAGCTTGCCCGAGGTCACAGATGGGGTAATGGTGACAGCTAACATGTGCGGAGCACTTAGTGTACACCGGGTTCTCAGTGCTCTTCAGAACCCTGAAATAATCCTGTGGAGCAGATGTGTTACAGACCTGTATTTCAAATGAGGGGATTTTGACTCAGGGTGGTTACAGGACGTGCCTAAGGTTAACTGAGGTAACGAGATCAGAGCCAGGATTTGAACCCAGGCCATCGGGGTGCCAGGCACACACTAAGCCCCTTCCTCTGCTGCCTCTGAGAATTTGGGTGCAGCGTGGCTGTGCTCTTTTCACTGAGGGACCCTGGGGTGGGGCAGTATGGCCTCTAGACCATCCTCAGTTTCTCAATGGCAGGATGGGGGTGGGCGACATGACCCCCCAACCTCCAGCGTTCACCCCCAACCCTGCTCACCTCCTCCCCGCAGATGAAGTTCTCGCTGGAGAAGCTGCACCAAGGCATCACAGTCTCAGATCCTCCCTTCGACACCCAGCCCCGGCCCGAAGACAGCTTTTCCTGAGGTCCCCAGCCACACAGCTCTTCCCCCACATGGACAGATGGACACACAGAGCCTCGGCGGCCACTGCTGGCACGGTGTGAGCGCCAGGCATCTCCCACCCGCCCCTCCCGACGGCCCGACCTGGGGCTGTGCAGACGTGGGGGCCACGGAACCGAGATGCACTTTAGACCAGGGAGCTGGCCCGGCCTCTGGCAGGCCCCCCACTAACTTATTTTGCCCGGCTGAGGTTGTGGGGGGCGCCTCCTGGGGTGCACGGTTCCCTCAGCTCTGGGTTTAATGTATTATATTTATTTGGGGCTGATGGTGCCCCAATAAAGGGTCAGAAGTGGCTGTGGCTGTGCCTGTGGGGCCCTGGGAGTGGGTGGGAGCCTCCTGTTACACTCAGATCCTGCCGTGGTGGGGAGGGGACCTCTGTCTGTGTTCTGGGACCATAGTCACTGAAACGATCTGGAATTCCCCCAGTATCTTACACAAGCTTTACATCATCTGAGGTCAACGCAGGAAGTCCGGGGACAGACTCTGGGAGCCAGAGTTCAAATCCTGCTTCCTAGCAGTGGTGTAACTGCAGCAGGTCAACCCCCTGGAGCTCCGGTGCCCTTTCCTGTGCAATGGGCAGAATGACAGTACCTGTCTCTCAGGGCTGTTAGAGGGGAGTGGTTCTCAAACTTGAGCTGTGTTCGAATCTCCTGGAGGGCTTGATGAAAAACAGACTGTGGGGCCCCTCCCTCCAAATTTCTGGTTCAGTAGGTCTGGGGCAGGGCTGGGATTCTGCCTTTATAATGAGTTCCCAGGGGATGCTCATGGTGCCATCCCAGACCACACTTTGTTTTTTTGTTTGTTTAAGTTAGGGTTTCTCTGTCGCCCAGGCTGGAGTGCAGTGGCACAAACATGGCTCACAGCAGCCTCGACTTCCTGTGCTCAAGCCATCCTCTCACCTCAGCCTTCTGAGTAGCTGAGACTACAGGTGTAAGCCACCATGGCCGGCTAATTTTTTATTTCTTTTTGGAGATGGGATCTGACTGTGTTGCTCAGGCTAGTCTCGAACTCCTGGCCTCAAGTGATCCCTCCTGACTCAGCTTCCCAAAGTGTTGGGATTACAGGCGTGAGCCATCATGCCCAGCCCCAGACCACACTTTGAGAACCGCTGTTACAGGTTCAAGGAGTTCATAAATGTGGCTACTTATAACAGGGCCTGGCACAGATGGAATGGAGTAAGTATTCAATAAATGTTACACTTATTGCATAAAAATAGAGGGAAAAAAGTAACTCGTGTAGTGAGTACCAAGTACGTACGTACTGAGCTCTGTGCCAAGATCTGATGTTCATTTTATTCTCAGAGTGACTCCATGAGGTGGAGACAAAGATGTACACGCCTGAGGCTACCCAGCAGGGAGGCAGACTCCACGCCTGACCCCTGGGGTCTCCACATTTAGATGCAAGGTCCTAACCCCCTCAGGACCCTACCACAGCCCATTCAGGCTGAGGGTTTGTTGGATCCCTGTTTTACAGATGAGGAAATGAGCTTGGAGGCAAAGTCCCTGGTCCAGATAGAACCCAGGTCCACCTCACTGAAACCTTGTCCTGGTTCCAGAGTGAGTGTATGGGGTAAAGAGACACCTTTGGCATGTCACACCTCTGGCTATAAGAATCATCCTAACTGATGGCTTGGGGCAGGGGACTGGGGGAGGGATTGGAGAGTGGATCAGGAGTGGCATAGGAGGCAGAGCCAGCCCCTCTTACCCTCTAGCTGTGTGATCATGGCAAGGGGCCCATGCTGAGCCTCAGTCTTCTGTATCTGTAACATGGGTATAATAATATCACCTATAGGAAGAATTAAATGAGCTAATGTTAGTAAAGTGCTTAGAATGCTTAGAACAGCACCAAGCCCATAAATAGTAGGTGCTCACTGAACATAGCTTATAGGGTTGTGAGGTGCCTCCTGTCCAGAGGCCTGTCCTCCCTGTGCCTTCACCTACCATCCCCCACCAGTGGAAGGGCCCGGAACAGCAAGAGGGTTATTCTCTGCAGGGGAATTTCACAGCTCAGGAGGCGCTGGCATAAAAGTCTAGACCACAGAGGTGTTGGATGTCCCTGGCTCCCTGCCCCTCTGCCATGGTCATGCCCCACACCCTAGCTCCTCTTGTCTGGCAGGGCTGGGCCAGGGGGATTCTGAGACCTTACCCCACCCAGAATTGGAGGCCAGGACCTAGGTAGTGACCCTTCAGCTGAGAGTCTCACTCCCACCCTGGTCCTGACAGACCAGAACTCCCACCTCCATTTTCTCCATTTGGCAGAACCTACTGGTAGGACAGGCCACTTACCACTGCTGGGGCAGGATTCCACATCCATCCTAGGCCAGCTACATGACTGTGGGCAAGGGAGCGGGCCTCCCATCCTCAGTTTCTTCATCTGTAAAATGGGGATAATAGAACTCACTGAAGATTTGGGGCAGTAGAAGTGGGTTCAGCAAATCCCAAGGGCTTAGTGAACATTGACTTTCATTTATTTGTTTGACAAATATTGATTGAGTACCTGCAATGTGCCAGGAACAGTTCAAGGTGCAAGAGACATGGTGGTACACAAGACAGTGTCCTCACCTGGGGATTTTTTACAATTTATTTTTATTTTTTAGTTTTTAGACAGAGTCTCACTCTGTCGCCAGGCTGGAGGGCAGTGGCGTGATCTCGGCTCACTGCAACCTCCACCTCCTGGGTTCAAGCGATTCTCCTGCCTCAGCTTCCCGAGTAGCTGGGATTACAGGCACACGCCACCACGCCCAGCTAATTTTTGTATTTTTAGTAGAGATGGGGTTTCACCATGTTGGCCAGGATGGTCTCGATCTCTTGACCTCATGATCCGCCCACCTCAGCCTCCCAGCATGCTGTCATTACACGCCTGAGCTACCGCACCTGGCCTTTTTTTTTTTTTTTTTTTTGAGGGAGTTTCGCTCTTGTCCAGGGATTACAGGTGCCCACCACCACTCCCGGCTAATTTTTTGGTATTTTTAGTAGAGATGGGGTTTCACCATATTGGTCAGGCTGGTCCCGAACTCCTGCTCTCAGGTGATCTTCCCCGCCCCCCCGCCCTTGGCCTCCCAAAGTGCTGGGAAGGCGACGGGTGGCTCATACCTGTAATCCCAGCATTTGGGAGGCTGATGCGGACGGATCACCCGAGGGCAGGCGTTCCAGATGAGCCTGACCAACATGGTGAAACCCTGTCTCTACTAAAAAATAAAAAAAGTAGCCAGGCATGATGGTTCGCGCCTGTACTCCCAGCTGCTCCGGAGGTTGTGGCAGGAGAATCTCTTGAACCCGGGAGGCAGAGGTTGCAGTGAGCCGAGATCACGCCACTGTACTTCATCCTGGGCGACAGAGCCAGACCCTGTCTAAGAAAAAAAACAAAAACAAAATGTCAGGTAGTGAGACTGCTATGAAAAACATTCAACAAGAGTAAAGGAGGTCAAGTTAGGAGCGGGGGAGGCAGTTTGCCCTGAAGCGACACAAGACCTAACGAAGGTGACATTGGAGCCATGGAGGCCTCGAGCAGAGGTTGCGGCGGTCGCAGGAGGGGAGCGGGCAGGACGGAGTGGTAGATGGGAGGCAAAAAAAGGGGTAGAAAAGGAAGGGAGAGGGCCGGAGGCGCGGGGGTAGGAGGGAGCAGGGAGGTGTAGAGGGAGGCGAGGTGGGTAGGAGAGGCGAGGCGCGGGCGCGGGGCGGCGGCGGGGCGGGGGTAGGCGGTCCGGGGACGCGGGCGGAGGTCGGAAGGCAGGGCACAGCGGGAGCGGGGTAGAGGGGAGGGCAGGGGTAGAGGGGAGGGCAGGGGCCAAGGTCCCGAGGCAGGAATGGGTTCCCTGTGTTGGAACAGCAGGAGGGCCTGAACAGCCAGAGTGGAGTGGGAGGAAAGAGGGGTAGAAGGTGACATCAGGGACATAAAGGGGTGCAGGGGATTGAAGGGGTCATCCTCCTGAAACAGCACCTCCAGATCCCCAGGGCTGCTTCTGCCCAGGGTGCCCCGCCTGCTTGGGTGAGGTCTGGATTGTAGCTGTAGTCTTAGCTTGACGGCCCCCACCTTCCTCTAATGCCTATTTGGGGGTCCCTGCACAGTGACCCCCAGGCCTGGATATCAGGGCTCTGAGGGGAGATCACTCGGAGGTTCGCTTCCTTGAACTCCTGAGGATGACCTCCATCATTTGAAATCGGAAACCCGGCCCCCAAACTGCGCTCCAAGTCCTCTTGTGACTCTGGGGGTGACCTTTCCAGACTCCCTGGGAAGGTGGCGGGGTGGTCCTCAGAGCCCCAGCGGAGTCGGAGACACCCGGACCATCCGCCGCCTTCCCAGAAGTCGCTGTCCCTGCGCCACCCGGAGAGGCCCGTGCAGCGGCCGCTTCCCGGGCCGCTGCGGCAAAGGCTGGGCGACCGCGCCCTCCCCCCGCGGTGATTCATCCCGCCCCCTCCCTCTCCTCCCTCCTCCCTCCCTAGGCCGCTGCCGCCGTCGCTGCAGTGCGCAGGAGACCGCGGTCCGCGCCCGAGCGCGCCCGAGCCGAAGCGGGACCTGGGTCGGTGCACCTAGCGGATGTGCCCGGCTGTGCGCGCCAGCGCAGCAGCCCGAGCAGCGGCCGCCGCCCGCGCGGCGGGGATGCCCGGACGCCGGGCCCCGGGGCTGGGCCCCCGGCGGTAACCGGAGCGGGGGGGCCGCGCCCCCCCTCTTCCCCCCTCGCCGGTCCCAGAGCCGCAGCTGCTGCGCCCGCGCGCTCCCGGGGACATTCTAATCGCCGACGGGTCCCGCCGCCTCTCGCCCCGCTATTAATACCGGCGGCCCGGGAGGGGGGCGCAGCACGCGCCGCGCAGCCATGGGGAGGCTGCTGGCCTTAGTGGTCGGCGCGGCACTGGGTGAGTGCACAGGGGGCGCGCGCGGCCGGGGGCACCGCGGGGTCGCTTGGTGGGGCGGCGGGAGTGGCGCTCGGGACTCGGGGCAGCCGCGCGAAGGCCGCCCCCGGCCCAACCCCGCGCCCCGCCAAGTCAGCTTCAGAAGTTGTGCGCGCGGGAGCCGGGCTTGGGGAGGGCGGTGGAGGTGCGGGTGGGCTCCAGCGGGCGGGGGCCGGGCTGGCACAGCCTCGCGGCTGCAGGCGCCCAGCCGGGGGCGAGAAAACGCGGAGTCAGCTGCTCCCGTAGCCCCGCAGGCTGCAATGTGACACCCACAGCCGCGGGAGGGGGGTGGGGGGAAGGCGGCGCCCGGAGACTGGGACAGGAAAGACGGAGGGACAGGGAGAGATGGAGACGGGAGGAAGGGGGCGAGAGACAGAGAAGGACTCAGAGCGCACCTGAGTGGTCCGCTGGGAGGCTGGGGACGTGGGGGTCAAGGGGGAGACGGAGACAGAGAGAGGGATAGTGGAGACAGAGAAAGAAAAAGAAAGAGAGTTAAGAGACTGAGCGCGATGGAGAAAGGGAAACTTGAGAGAGGCAGAAGGAGATGGAGAGAAGAGAGAGGGAGATGGGGGTGCCCGTGAACACTGGGAGAGAATCTGGCATGGAGTTTTAAAAGGGATAGACGTGGAAAGGTGGAAAGGGATTAGGAGAGGTCTCCTTCTGAGCCCAGAGAGTGGACACAAAGTGGAGGGACCTTCAGAGAGACCCCTGAGAGGGACAAAGATGGGAGGGACTGAGACAGAGGCCCTCAGGGAGTCTGAAAGGGACCGCAGCAGGGGCGGATGGATGAGAAGTCCTGAGGATAAGGAGACAAGGACAGCACAGGGCTGCAGCAGAAGAGACACCGCGTTAGCTACAGAGTGCTGGGAGGCAGGAAGGAGGTGCCAGGTAAGAGAGTGAAGGAATTCTAAGACTGGAATTCCATGGGGTGCAAAGGCCCTGGGGCAGGAGAGAGCTCAGGAAAGCTTTGAGTAGTGGATGGGATTGGGGTGGGAAGAGCTCTAGAGGCGAGGACCCTGGGGAAGAGGGGATGATGGAAGCCGGAGAGGCTGGGGAGGGGATGGCTCACACAGGGGCTTGTGGGGCTGGGAAGAGGGGCTGAGTGTGGATCAGCCCCAATTCCAGTGCCCACCTCCCCACAATCCCCCACCCCTAGACCTTCTTTTCTCCCAACCCATTTCTCCTGGAGCTAGCTGGTTTTGCAATTTAATGGTGAAAACGACTGCCACCTTGAACTTCTAACTTAGCTGGAAGTGTCATTCTACCACCTAGGTGCTTGGGTTCCTCCAGCAAGGGACTTGCTGAGGAAGGGGCACTCGGGTAGCAAAAAAGTCTGAGTTACTGGCAACGTTGACAGTCCCTATGGGGCCTCCCATGTACAAGGCCCTACCTAATGTATGAAAATGGGCCCAGCCAATGCTGGAAGCAGAGGACCATTTCTTTCAACAAGAGAGAGGGAAACTGAGACCCAGAGACGAATGACTTGCTGAGGTCACACAGTGAGTGACAGGGCTTAGCCTGGCATCCAGTCTCGTCTGCTGGTAATCATTGAGGGGGGAACAGATGGTTTGTGAGGGGTCTGGCATTGCTTAGGGCAATGGGTGCCTCTGCCTGACCTGAGCCTGCTGTCCCCACAGTGTCCTCAGCCTGGGGGGGCTGCGTGGAGGTGGACTCGGAGACCGAGGCCGTGTATGGGATGACCTTCAAAATTCTTTGCATCTCCTGCAAGCGCCGCAGCGAGACCACCGCTGAGACCTTCACCGAGTGGACCTTCCGCCAGAAGGGCACTGAGGAGTTTGTCAAGGTGTGCGGGTGCCGGGCACGGGTGTGGGATGGCGGGAATCCGCGTGTGGGAGGCAGTGGGGCTGGATCTCAGGGAGGGGGCTTGTTTGTTTGTTTTAATAATATGCTGTGATTGCTGACCTGGATTCAGATTCTGGCTCTGCCAGTGGCCTGCTGGTGACCTTGGCCAAATCAGTGAGCCTCTCTGAAAGTCAGTTTCCTCCTCAGTAAAGATGGGGTGGCAGTGGTCTCTAGCCCATAGGTTTGCTTGAGGACCGAATGCATTGACGCACCTGGCACATGGTTGGCACGAAATAAATGTCAATGGACTTATTTGGCACCAGCAAACAATGTCTCAGATAGTCATTACAGAGGGAAGACAGAACTTTTTTCTTTTTTTTTTAACCTCCTTTGAAATACGTGTGTATTTTGCATTACATATGGGAGAGGGAACCATAAACTTCGATGATGTGCTGGAGAATTGGGGTCTCCAGCTGCGGGGATCAGACTGCCCTGTCCCTGCTGGAGGAGTGTATCTGGTGGCTGGGAAAGAACTGCAGAGAATGATGGCCTAGAGGCCAGATGGGGCTTGAGAGGATGACTGAGGAACGTGTGTGTGCACATGTGCATCTCGGTTGGAGGCAAAAGCGGGGTCTGGATGACTCCAGGCATGATCCTAGCCCCCGCCCCCCCACCCCTGTGCCCTCTCTGCCTGAGGTCAAGGCGTCTGAGCCCATCTATGTACCATCTGTGTCTGTGGGTGTCACGGCAGGGGAGAGAATCAGGGTCAGGTGAGGGAAGAGAGGCCCAGGCAGCGACACCTCCCCCTCCCTGGCTACCCCTAGATCCTGCGCTATGAGAATGAGGTGTTGCAGCTGGAGGAGGACGAGCGCTTCGAGGGCCGCGTGGTGTGGAATGGCAGCCGGGGCACCAAGGACCTGCAGGATCTGTCTATCTTCATCACCAACGTCACCTACAACCACTCTGGCGACTACGAGTGCCACGTCTACCGCCTGCTCTTCTTCGAAAACTACGAGCACAACACCAGCGTTGTCAAGAAGATCCACATTGAGGTAGTGGACAAAGGTGAGTTGGGCGCTGCCTGCCCCTATGCCGTCACCCACCGGCGAGCCAGATGGAGGGACAGATGGCAGGTAGTGGACAGGACAGGCTGGCTCTGTGCCTGGCCAGCCATCCGCCCACAGCAGCGGGCTGGGGGAAGAGGGGAGCAGCCTCTCCCGCCCACTCCAGCTCTGGCCTCTGTTTCCCTCCAGCCCACGGAGAGGTCAAAGCATGCATCTCCCCCACAGATGCTCCGGGTACAGAACCCAGCTCTGTCACCTGTGCTGCATGATCTCTGGCAGGTGCCTTCTGTCTCTGAGCCAAAGGGTTGTCCTGGGCTCGCCCAGGATAATAATCTGATGTGTTTCTCGGGGTGTAGTTTGAGCCATGATTCCATCACGGGCGTCATGAGGATTGAGCAACTGCAGGCACATGCCCGGCTTCCAGCAGAGCCTTGCACGTGGTGGTGAGGGTGGCGGTTCTTACTG